TAACAGACAGACGTTGACCGTTCAGTTCAATGTCAGGTTCTGAGTGCATGCCTCTCTTTCTGGAGAACAAGACACACGTGCTTTTTTGTGGGTTCAGTCGGAATTCGTTTTCCTCTGCCCATTTGGAGACCTTGTTTAAACCTAACTGAACCTGCCGCTCACACATTGCCAGATTGCAAGACCTAAAGCCAAGCTGGACGTCATCGACATATGTACAATAAAACATATTGCGAGGAACGGACAAGCGCAAGGAATTCATTTTTATGAGAAAAAGTGTGCAGCTAAGTACACCACCTTGTGGCACGCCTGTTTCCTGGACAAATGTTTGGGAAAGAACCGTGCCCACTCAGACACGGAATGTCCGGTTTGACAGGTAACTTTTGATTATGTGAAACATTCTTCCGCACACGCCAAGGTGGAACAGGTCTCTTAGAATTCCAAAACGCCATGTTGTATCATAAGCCTTTTCGATATCGAGGAACACAGAGAGAAAATATTGTTTATGGACGAAGGCGTCTCTGATCTGTGCCTCGATACGAACAAGGTGGTCTGTCGTGGATATACTCTCTCGAAACCCGCACTGAATGGGTCGAGCAAATTGTTTGTTTCAAGAAAGTGTACAAGTCAGCAGTCTATCATTTTTTCGAAGACTTTGCACAAGCAGCTTGTAAGTGCAATAGGCCTATAATTCGAAACTAAAGAAGGGTCCTTGCCCTCTTTCAAAATGGGAATAACAATAGCCTCTTTCCAGGAGGTAGGAATAGTGCCAGAAGACCAAATAGCATTGTACAAACAAAGTAAGGTTTTTCGGGTTTCGTTTGGTAGGTTTTTTAACATTTCATACATCACACGGTCAGAACCTGGGGCAGAAGTACTGCAGGAGTTTAGAGATGTTCGGAGCTCAGCTAGACTGAAAGCTTGGTTATATGCCTCATATCTAGTGGATTTGTGTTCGAGTTTCTGCTTTTCTATTCTTGTTCTGTATTTTTGGAAAGTGTCAGTATAGTGGGACGAGCTGGATACCTGTTCGAAGTGTGCACCGAGGAAGTTTGCCTGATCTTCCAAGGTATCACCCTGAGTGTTTACGAGTGGAAGTGTGTGTACTTGTTTTCCTGCTATCCTACCGACCATGTTCCAGACTTTAGCTTCCTGTGTGTATGAATTAACCCCTGATAAAAACTTCTGCCAGCTTTTTCTTCTGGCCTGCCGACGCGTTCTCCTGCCTTGAGACTTTATTTTCTTGAAGGTTTGAAGATTTTCGGCTGTCGGTGAGTTCCGAAGCAGCCTCCAAGCTCTGTTTTGCTGTTTGCGCACGTTTCGGCATTCAGAGTTCCACCATGGCACATGTCGTTTTCCAGGGTGCCCATTTGTTTGTGGGATGCATTTTGTTGCAGCATCAATCAAAAACGCTGTGAAGTAGTTCACAGCAACATCAATGTTCAAAGTACAGATGTCATTCCAACATAGACAAGCGATAGTATAAAACTCTTCCCAGTCGGCTTTGTTTATGAGCCACCTGGGAACACGTGGTGGACACTCAGTTACTGTCGTTGTGCTCAAAACTACGGGGAAGTGGTCACTTCCGTACAGATTACTGACGACCTTCCACTGGAGTAGAGGCACAATAGATGGAGATGCTATGCTCAGGTCTATGGAGGAGTAGGTGTTATTGGCGAGGTTATAATAGGTTGGTTCTTTTCGATTTAGGAGACACGCTCTTGACGAGATAAGGAACTGTTCGTTCAGTCGACCTCGCGCGTCATACCGAGAGTCACCCCATAGCCTGCTATGCGCATTAAAGTCTCCAAGGAGAACATAAGGCTCCGGAAGTTCATCAATTAGAGAGTGTAAATCGCGTTTTTGCAGCTGATAGCTAGGAGGAATGTAAATAGTGCAGATTGTGATCAGTTTATCAAAAAGAACCGCTCGAACAGCCACTGCCTCAAGGGATGTTTGGAGTTGTAAGTGTGTGCATGCTATTCCTTGATTCACTATGATGGCAACACCTCCGGATGATGTCATAGCATCAACACGGTCTTTTGGGAAAATAACGTATTTACGAAGAAAATTTGTGTGTTTTAAATTAAGGTGTGTTTCGTGTACGCACAGCACTTTTGGTGAGTGTTCATGTAAGAGTTCTTGGATGTCGTCAAGGTTTCTGAGAAGGCCCCTGACGTTTCATTGTATAATTTGAGTGTTCATGATGAATGTGAAATAGTGCTGTGTGTACGAAAAGCGAGTGGCTGTTTAGACAGGGAGTTTGAGTTCACTTAACAGGGCCATCACCAGGCCCTGTTATCTGCTTTTTTGTTTTCTTGACGCGCTCCAGGGAGCCACGCCGCTCTTTCGGCACCAAGGGTGCCGACGTATCCATTGCCTCCTCGGAGGCACTGGATGCCCGCACGTGCGGGCTGTTAATTCGAATTTCGGGCCTCGCCTGGTGAGGTGAGGCCTTGAGACCGGAGGACTCTGGAGTCTCCGGTCTCTGTTTGGGAGTAGGCGGTGTAGCCTGGGCTACAGCCGCCCTGGTGGCAGGTGCCACAACCACCGGCTCGGTATGCGCGGGCCGGAGGAGTGGCGAGGGCTGGTGCGGCGGTGCCCCCTGACGCACCGCATCAGCGTATGTAGGTCCATAGAATGAAGCGACTCTTCGCCGTGCTTCCTTAAATGTAATGTTCTCCTTCACCTTCAACGTAATTATTTCTTTTTCTTTTTTCCAGTATGCGCAGGAGCGTGAATATGCGGCATGGTTTCCTTTGCAGTTTACACAGTGTGGCGGTTGTTTGCAGTTCTCAGAGACGTGGCCAAGGACTCCACATTGTGCACAAGTCTGGCGACCACGACAGGTTTTATAGCTATGGCCATGCCTCTGGCATTGGAAGCAACGACGAGGGTTTGGTATGTACGGCCTGATAGATGTCTTTGTGTACCCTGTTTGAATAGATTCCGGTAGTTCACTGGATGCAAATGTGAGTATTAAGTGTTTCGTCGGTGTTTCCTTATTATCTCTTCTAATGATGATTCTCTGTACATTAGTGACATTTTGGCTCTTCCACCCCTCCAAAAGTTCAGTCTCAGTCAAGTCAAGTAAGTCCATGTCAGATACCACTTCGCGAGTTGTGTTCATTGATCTATGTGGTGTTATGGTTATTGGTATGCCACCGAAATCTGAAAGACGGTCTAGCTTTTCAAATTGTTCTTTGTCACGGATTTCGAGGAGAAGGTCTCCGCTAGCCATTTTGGTTACCTTGTATCCTGTGCCAAGAGTTTCGGTAAGACATCTAGAAACCAGGAAAGGAGAGACGGTTCTGGCTTGCTTTTCAGTTTTTTCACAGTGGATAACATGATAGTGAGGATATGTTTCTTTGGGCTGGTTAAAAAAGTTTATATCATCAGTGCGTACCCGCTTTAAGCCGGTACGATCAGACAGTAAGGGGAATGCTCTGTGCATGCCTGTCTTATTTTTGTTCAGCAGCGTTGGCGCCCACCCACCACAGAGCCCAACGAGGGGACGCTACAAGTTTGCGGATGCTGAAACCTGCAGACGCCAGCCATACAACGCCACTATAACCCAATGCGCCTAGACCAAGGTAGGCTATTTGCACAGGGTTAACCCTAGCCGCCAGGAAGTTTGGAAGTAAACTGAAGAGAGTAGAAGACAGGACAGATAAATAGTAAGAGATAAAGACGAAGATGTAGGGAGAGAGAGATAGGAAAAGGCGACTGCCGATTTCCCCTGGGTGGGTCAGCCCAGGGGTGCCGTCTACGTGAAGCCGGGGCCAAAGGGGTGTGTTGCCTCTGCCGGGGGGCCTTAAAGGTCCAATCACCCAGCGTCAGCTCAACCCCCAGGATCCCCTTTTCCCCGGACACGGCAAAGCCACGCACGGCTAGGCGTGGGAGGGAGTCAAAACTCCCCCGTTAGCTCGGGTCCGTGGTGTCGCTACACACCAAACGCTTACTTGCGCAAGCGCCCCTGCGGGGAGATGAGGGCAAGAGACTACACCAATATCTTCATTCTCCTCCCTCTAAGTCACTCCATCGCTTTGATATAAGCAGAGAAAACAAGATGTTATGTTGGATTGCACACAAGGGTACAAGAGCCGATGTCACAGCCTCAGCAATGCGTTTTTTTTGGGGAGGGAAAAAGCTTATTTAGTGAACTTCAGAGAGCATTATGGCAGCGCCCAGGGAGCCATCATTGAAAAAGTCTATAGTCGAATACAACTTGGGAATAAATGTAAGCTTTGCCTACAGCTATCACTGTCCCACCCACAGAGAATTGGCATTAATTTCCCACCTAACTACTGCTACTTATTTATGTGACATCAAGCACATCTTGCTTATTTCAATTAGCTAACTTCCCCATCCAAACACACATTTATTTCAGTCAAAAACACCGATTTTCTGGCAGATTTCAGCACAGGTCAAGACTTCGGTGCTGTGCCAAATGAACCATTTTAAGAAAAGAAAAAAACTTTACTTTTGTTACATGCATAGTATCTGCATTAGCAGCGAAAAAGTACTTATAGTTAGAATGCAATCTGTCAAGCACAATGCTGGTAGAGATGAATTACAGGTGGGCCACAGTACTGGGGGCGGAGCGTCTTGTTTCGTTGTCTTGTTCAAGTGGTCGACTGAACACTGGCCTTTTGTTAACGAGAATTAACTGTGTTTAATAAGCATTGGGGTACAGGAATAGGTGTGGCTACATGGAGGTAGGAATGCAGAGTGAGAGTGTTCAGAGGCAGGGGATCCTACTGCGAACCGGAAGGCCAGGCACAACTTGATATTTCAGCTCTGAATGCAGAGAGAAGGAGATGAACATAAACACTGGAGGAAGCGGAGAATCCTGAAGCAGCGTGCGACTTGACACTGCAGGCGACGGTTGTGCCACCTCTGGATGCTTCTTGTAACACGTCTACTTATTCTTGGGCTGTAATATTTTGCGTCAACTGTAGCGCTACGGTGCCCACAGGCTGTGGCAATTCCCGGCTGCTCACCTGTTCTCGTACTGTTTGATGCGCACACACATGATGAGCCAGGTGTACATGACCAGCCAGCGGAATGCCACAAACAAGCAGCGTCCACCAGTGGAAAACCGACGAGAAGAGGGCAAGGGCGGTCAGCCGTGGCGTGAGCACCATCAGGTGCGAACAGTAGCAGACCACTGTGGCGAGCCACGAGACGTTGAGAGAGTCCTCACGTGAGAAACGTAGAGTCCGCACGTAGGCCACCAGCGACCAAGCTGCTGACCCGACACCAAATCCTATCGATCCTACCTGCGCCAGCACTGCGAGGCAGAGGAAGTAGTTGGCAGTGCGTACTCACTGATGGACGGGCTTGCTTTTTTGTAAGACATAACCGCACAATACAGATAATGAAGTTTCAGCTGCTGCCATGTACTTGCGTATATGTAATTTAAAAAATCACACTCCACAAAATTGTGCTACACTAGCTCATTTAAAGGTAATTTACCAAATAATGCATAAGACGCTATTTATAGATATAGCTCCCGATGTCTGTCTATATCTGAAACTGTGCAGACACATAATGAACATTGCCAAGCAATGCAAAACTATTAATTTTGGAAACATTTAGATGCGCACACAATAGATGAAAAAACGAAAGGTGTAAGGACAAATGGGCACAATATTACATTTTATCAGGTTTAGTATCAAATCTTCTAGATTTTTATTCGTCGGCTCACAACTATAGGGTGAAACAGCTTGATAAAAGAAATATACGGTATTTTCTTTGTGCGCAGAACGTCTCAGAGAGCAAGAGAGATAGTACGGTGTGTACACTTACCACCACTTTATTGCTCAGATGGCAGGAATATATATACAATCAAGAGGGTGAGGAAATGACACACAGAGAAAGGGAAAAATGATGGCGCATAATGGCAATTTTCTTATCTGGTCAGCACATGCAAACTGTGATATGCAAGTTTATCTGTATCGCCTTGCCTAGGGGCCTTTTGCTGTGACAAGCATTTCCATGTATCATCATGATCAGCCTGACTACGCCCACTGCAGGGCAAAGGCCTTCCCTATGGTCCACCAATTAACCCGGTCTTGTGCTTTCTGTTGCACACAGTCCCCTATCTTGTTCTAGCGACTGGTTCACCCTGTATTACTACAACTGAAACCATCACAAATTTTTGTTATGAGGTGCCAGCATTCAGGGACGCTGCTGGTGTATACATGCCCTTTCTCAGAGCTTTCATGGAGAAGTAGATGATGTGACTCCAAGCCCACTTAGCCCTACCATGGTGCAGTGGGTGATGCGGCTAGCATTTTAACATGTCAATATAGTTCAGGGGTTATGGATAATACTGAACTCCTATGAAGCTATAGATAATTAGTAATTTTATTACTAGGCACATCACACATGAGTACAGTGGTGACATTTTTGGCGAAATTTTAAGAAAGATTGCGACTTTTGGTGACTTTCTGCTACGTCGTTTGGCGAATTTCACTTGAAAGTCAGTGACAACTCTGAAAATCAGCACATGTTTTCTGGGAGTTAAGCAGAAGATGAAGAAAAGGACGAAGACAGCATGCCTGCTCATGATGACGATAATTTCTGTTCACAATTGATGGGGCTTTCTCTGAGCATAACCATATCTGCTGTCAACAAGCAAAGAAACAGGCACGAATGATTGTGGTTTGCAGTAGTACAAGAGAACACTCACCCACTGACGGTTCCTGCTCTTGTGCGGTGATAAGCACGTAGGACTGCAGCAACACCTGGGGCACCGATTCGAGGGCAGACTCGACCACCCGCAGCAAGGATGCATCATTGCCCTCCCACAGCATGAGCAGGTGGTAGGCGCAACGATCCGCTTTATTACGCGACCTGTCCTGGCTCTTGAAGCCAAAGATCAATGCACTCAAGTACCTGCCAAATGATGAGGAAATTGGACGAATTTATACATGACACGTTTACTGTACCACTATGCATATATGGTAGCCATCTGTGTGCTACGTGAAAAGGCTCACAGCGTGCAAGTAGTTGCACCCACTAAACTGCATGCATCAGCAGTTTACATGCATTCCCATTGAAATAACTTCTAAGGATCCACTGTTTGCTGACTCTCTTCTCTGCCCAGCTACACAGTAAAGGTGTACCACATCACTGCACTAGGAAGAAAAAAATATATATATCAGCCCATGAAGAGCGCAATGTCCCTGATAAAGAACACTCCATGCTTCCTTTCCCAGCGCTTATGGTTTGGAAAATCTTATTGGTAAGTATCACCAGTATGCACTCTAGTCAGTATGGAGATTCTGCAAACAGTGTCCATAGCAAAGTGGGCCAACACTGACGACAACGTAATATAAAGCTGTCGGACCTGCAGTGACTATAGAACATGAGAAGCTTTACAAGTTTCAAGAAAGGAAGTGTAGATTTAAGGGCTAATTTTCTTTGTTAGACACAATTTCAATAGAGATTTAGCAGACAAACTGTGACAAAAAAGTATAGGGAATGTTATTACAAGTAATTTTAATGTAATTGTGAAGAAAAAAAGTGGACGAAAAGATAACTAGCCATGAGCAGGGACCGAAGGCCACGACATTCTAATAACGCATCCAGTGCTCTACCAATTGAGCTACCGAGGCGGCTATCCCCCGTCCACTTTATAGGATATATATGCATTAAACACGGGAGCGCCAGTCAGCGCCACTAGTAGCCATGGCGGCTAGTGTGAGACACTATGTATCTGCAGGTTTCAATGACACAGCAAGTTTGGTAAGTTGCTATCGGTTCATACTGGTAGCATAATAATGCACAACAACACAACCAGCAGTTGAAGGAGAAGAAACAACACACACTACAACTGCTGACTAGTCGCCTGAACGATTTATTGCACCTTACATGTAAATATAAGCAACACAAAAGTTGTACACGTGACATGGAATGACATAATTGAGATGTTGGCAAGCACAAAGTAGGGGTTCCTCGATTAAAACCAATTATAACAGTATTTCAAATGTAAGTGAACAGCCAATACAAGGAGCAATATTTTACTGTTCATTTCACTGCCTTTAGTAGTGGAGACTAAACCATTTCACAAAAGCCTTTAAAGCAAGCAGTATGAAAACTATTTGGAAAGTCACACTTGACATTTTATGCTCATGGATTGAAGGAAGAAAGAAATGTAAGCGTTGTGAATAATAGGTCAGCAAGCCAGAGCATGTTATCCTTATTTTTATTTATTCTGCTTTGCCGTAAGGCATTACAGCAGGAGAGTACAGTCCATATAATCAAACACATAAAAAACATTCATAAATCATGGAAAAAATCATCACTTGAATCAATACAGACTATTTTTCGGTGGCAGAGTGTTCCATTCTCTTATAGTGCGGACAAAAAAACACTAGCGAAAAGCGTCACACCCAAAAGGAATCTCGCGTATTTTTAAGTGATGATCATGTCTTTGAGAAACATAGTTGGGTGGTTGAATATACAATTGCCCAACGATCCCTGTTCTCGAATAATAAATGCTATGAAAGAATTTTAATCTGAGGTTTTGACGACGGTTTTAAAGAAGATCCCAATTTAATGTTTTTCTGCTCTCTGTCACACAAAGCATCTTGTCGTAATTTCCAAGACAAATCAAATTGCTCTATTCACTTTTTCAAGTTTATCTGTAAGTTCCTTAGTATATGAGTCCCAGCAGACGCACGCATACTCCAGTATACTGCGGGTGTGTGTAAAATAGAGCTGCTTTCTAAGTTTTTTGGGGTAAACTACTGATGTTATGTTTCAGAAAACTTAATGTTCCTACCGCCTTGTTCCTAACGTTAGTGACAAATTTATTTCATCTCAAATCAGCAGTAAAAAATACACCTACATATTTATATTCCATGGCATGTTGAAGATTAGGGTTATTGATCGTGTAATGATTTCTGCAGTGCAAGAGTTCCTGGCAAAGGTGACGTGGATGCTTTTTTTCACATTCAACGGCATTTTCCATTTATCACACCATGTGGCAATTAAATCTAAATCGTTTTGCAGTGCTTGTTTGTCAAGGTCGCTTTTGATGGCCCTATATATTATACAGTCATCTGCAAACATTCTAAATGATGATGTGATACCAAAAGTGATGTCATTTATGAATAACAAAAATAAAAGCGGACCTAACACTTATACCTGTCGTACACCAGAGGTCGCAGCAACATATGTAGAGCAACAACGGTTCAGAGCCACAGACATCTATCTGCCTTGAGCGAAGATACTCAGCTATCCAAGCAATAACCTATCATCCTAATTTATAATATCGAAGTTTAGCGATCAAGAGACTATGCATAACGACATCATAAGCTTTTCTGAAATCCAGAAATATACAGTCAACACTTTGCTGCTTGTCGACAGCTGAGGCAAGGTCATGAGTAAATTCTACTGATTGCGTCATACAAGAAAAGCCCTGCTGGAACCCATGCTGACTAGGATGAAGAAGGTTATTGGCAACAAGGTGAGACATGATGCTGCTATAAATCACATGTTCCATAACTTTGAATACAATACTAGTTAACGACACTGGCCAATAATTCTCAACTCTGTCCCTCTGTCCACTTTTATGAATTGGTACCTACGTGGGCCAACTTCCAGTCCCCAGGAACAATGCCGTCATTTAAGGAATTTTGAAATAAACGACAAAAATATAAACACAGAGTGCCCGAACAGTCAATAAGAAACACTGCCGGGATATCATCCGGACCACTCGCTTTCGTGTGTTTCAAGCCTTTTAATAATCTCTCGACTCCCGTCGCACTAAACGCAACCTCAGACATTTTGTCGACTTGGACAGAAGTATCAACAGTTGTAACTGCACTAGCATCTGAAAAATCAGACTGAAATACAGATGAAAAGTAATTAACAAAAATTTTGACCTTACTCGGATCATCATTAATAATTCTGTCGGACCAGCAGTGCAATGTTGGAACAGAAGTGTCCTCCTTACCGTTTCATTTAACGTATTTCCGAAATTCCTTCTGATCGTCTACCAGCCTCTGGCCTAAGTTAGTGAAGTATGTTTGTTTGGCTGATCCAGCGAGCTTTCTAAAACTATGTTTTAACTCTGCTAACTGTATGTAGTGACTATCCGATTTCTGATTCTTGCTAAGCCGATAGATTCTTCTGATTTTTTTAATAAAGAACTGAGTTGCCTGTTAAACCACGGTTTATCTTTTTAACTTTTGGGAGAGAACTTTTAAATGGGAACAAATTAAGCACCCAGATTCAAAAAGCTTCTCTTTAAGTACTCCCCATAAGCTCTTCCCCGTTTAATTCATCTGCCAATGTGTGTCAAAAGTGGGAAAGTAAGATTCAAGAGCTAGATTTAGTGCAGCGTAGCTAGCCCTGTCATATGCATACACTGTTCTAGGGGCTTTTTTCGATACACACACATTTCGAAATCTAGCGTCCGCTACAATAACCTTATGATCACTTATGCCTGGCAAAGCACATATGTCTGAAATAATATTCGGACGCATCACAAAGTAACAAATCAAGCACAGTGGCACAATATGGCGCTAATAGCCAAGCAATCTGGCGCTGACATGCTAGCCTTAAGTGGCTAGCAGGCAACACAAGGAGCAATGCGCCCTAGGCATTGAATTATTATTTTTATAAAGACGCAAGCAGCCCGAAAGTTGGGCAACACTGATACACATGTGAGCCAGGAAATAACAAGCTGCTTGCTATGCGAGCATCTGCATTCCGGCAAACTCTTTTGTTTCATGATTAGCTGCGTATGCCAATCAAACCATTTTAGTTTCTCTCCAGTTTGGCATTGAAAATGAACGATTCTTGGCGAATGCAAATTTGGTAAATCATCACGGCTTTGCTCCGCTGCAGTACACGACGTTAATACTGCTACACACCGGCAGTTGCGTGAATTTTTTGCATCTATGTTGTAGCTTTCGCATTCATATATCTTGATTGTGCAAACTTTAGCTTACCTTGTCAAATCGCGCTTGTCTTTTCTGACTTGTCATCATTACACGATATGCTATTCTGTGAAGTTTTCATACTTTCAGTAAGCCTTCAGGTTTACAGAATGCTATCATTTTTTTTTATCTTGCAGTTGAAGACATTCTATATGGTGAAGCTTGAAGCCCTTCTGTATTATGACGTTGTTTATGCTGTACTAAATGGTTAAATTCAAATTTTGATATTTTTATTGCTTGATGCTATTGCTTGATGCTGTATGCCATTTTTATTGCTTGATGTCATCCTAATTGCAAATCTTACAGTATTACTCGTGTGAGTTTAAGTATGATATTATATGTCCATTTGTACTGTAAACGTCATATGCTGCCAATGTAAGGGTCTTCAGGGACCAAGTCAAGCTGCCTAGAGCAGCTTTTAGCCCAGAAGACTATCCAGAATTTTTTCGGTGAAATAAACTTTGATATACACCATGGCAAAACAGGGGTTGCCGGCAGTAGATGGGGTTTATAACTGGCAACTTCAAGGGCTTATTTTGTCCTTAAATAATTGTACGGTGCCCTTTTCTTACATGACAGACTTTCACTTCTATTTTACACAGGTATGTATGCCTGCCAGTTGGGCGTGTTGGTAAATGTTCATGATGAAACAAGCGCTAAAAATTACACACACTCAGAGAGGACTCAGACAAGCGATTACTAGCAACTGAAAATTTTATTTCAAAGCGAACACTAATAAATACATAGCACGCATGTACGTCATTCCCAACTTCCCCCTGTCATAATCAACAATGCGATATACCAAAATAATCACTCCCATAATCGATGGAACACAACCGGAAACAAACAAGTGTCAAGAACTGAGAAAAGAAAACATAAAAAAAAAACAGAAAAGAAAAATGCACTGGGTTATGTTACATCCAAAAAAGCAAATTCCACATCTGTTAGTAAAACAGACAATTGACTGACGCAACTGTCACCTCCTTTCCTAATTCTATACGCTTCCATTGTTTCCGTCGGCGTCCGCTTCTTGTGCCTCTCAACTATTCGTGTGTCTGAAAATTTCGGTTCGCAGGTGCACTCCTTGCACTGCATCGCTAAGCGTGAGTAAGGGGACCCCTTTAGTGAACTCTCATGTTCACGGGTGATGTTCACAGGGACGGGGACATGTTCACGGGGGCACCTCTGTGTCCTCTCTGAGTGTGTGTAATTTCTGGTGCTTGTTTTTATCATGAACAGGTATGCATCAACGTCATCTACGAGAAGCGCTAGCGGTGCGGGATCGCCAGTTTGAAAGTTTATGCATTCATCACGCACACAAATAGCTTAATCTTGCTGCAAGCACTGTCCGTGAGATCCGTACAGTGACTTGGGTGATTAAAGGCCTCCAGAACAACTCTTACACGCCAATGCAGGGACAGAATAGACGATGCGTACGAGTGGACCTCACAAATGGCATGGCAATGATGGTGCCACCTGGTGGATCAAAGCTCACAGCCTACTCTTCATAATAGACCTCTCACTTCTATTTTACACAGAAAACCACATAATTTTGCATTGCAGGGACCATGTCCTGGCCTCTTTAAAGCACTCGTGCGGCAGACAATAAATAGATTTTAATCTAGCATGCCTTGCTCTCACTGCCAGTATGTGAATTCCTGAAGACAATAAATGTTCTGTGGGCGTATCAATATGTTTGTATTTGTAATGAATATACTGTATTGCTTCTCTTTAAACATTGCCAGTTCAGTTGTGTTGGTCGTTGTGGAGTAATACTAAACCAAATTAGCATATTTTATTACTGGCCGCACAAAGGTTTTTTAACATTCTATTTGGAGATAACTGAGAGCAGACCCCAGACACCGTTTACAAGAAGTACAACTTATGAGTTGCTGCTGATAATGTGTTCGTTCTATTTTATAGTTTGTCTTACATACCTGTGTTGATGAACTTTAGCTAGTGAAGAATGATCAATGAAATAAGTGAATTCTGATGCAATCTTTTCTAGCCATTATCATCACTAACACCGGCTTGTTGGTGATGACAGTCACTTGCCATGGCTAGCACCAGGTGCTCAGCACATTCGGTTAACTCTTTCGAGTGAGGTGATCTTCATAACGTTCTACCTTTTTATATGTAATGCAATCATCTGCTTGAAAGTTTGTTACATTGAGTGTGAATAATGATGATGCAATAATATAAATTAAGGATAGCAGGGGCACTAAAGCTAAGCCTTGAGGGACTCCAGATGTGACAGGAATGATATTGCATTATGGTTTATCGTAAAAGCCGAACTTTGGAATAAAAAAATTTCAAATCCAAACTGTAATAATGCTTCCATTGTTAACAATCGCCTCTAATTTTGCATTTACCTCACTGTGACACGCAACTGAACACTTCGCTTAAGTTCATAAGTATATGCTTCGCTTTCAATCAATTGTTCAAGGTCATGTTTATCTATGGCTAATGTGTTACCTACTAATATCCCGCATTGAAACTCATGCTGATTAGAAGTTAGTACGTAATTCACTGAAAATAGATGTTCTAGAATCTTGCATAACAGTTACTATATTGTATTGTATGCATTAATTCTGATATGTTAACTCTTTACAGTTGTCATTTACACCGATGAGATATTTGGCTCCGAATAGAGCTCCAAACCGTAGGCCGTCAAGGATTTCCCTCACTTCAAAATATATATTCAGGTGTTTAAAAGTTGTGTTCTAGGATCTTGCATCATGTAACAGTTATTGTATTGTATAATATTTCGTTAAACCGTTATATATTGTAACAGTTATTGTATTGTATTGTATTGTATAATATTTCGTTATACGAATATCACTTGCACTGATCGTCCACAAAACAACGAGTAGATATTACATCGCGAGACTTGCGAATAGTAAAACATACAGATCGGTGTACGAAGGATGAAGGCATGTGAGTCATGCGTCGTCATAGTACAGTACGTAGTAAACATTGCTGCCTCTGTGGTACTGCATACCTGTAGACGACGGCGAGCAGGAAGACGTGAAGCACAACGGTCAGCCTCGTCGACATCCTGAACTCTTCGTGCCCGGGAGGGCACTGCTGGATGAACCACCACCTGAGGCTAAGCAAGGAGATGACACACGAGGGCACGAAAATGAACGCGATTGTCAGGCCGAAGTACAACCGCTGGCCCTGCTGCCAGTGCTTGTGCGCGACCCAGGCGTCGGTGCAGACGTCCGCGATCACGGTCGTCATGGAGAGGACGAGCACAAACTTGTCCCAGGGCGTGAAGGGGAAGGACTTCGGGTCCACCTCGTCTGCGTCGTCCACAGTCCTGAGGCCATGCGTCTCCGACGCTACGTCCGGTGGCGAGTACGTATCGCCGTTCGGCGCGCTCGGCAGTCGTCGCGGCCAGCATAGCGGCGCACCGGTGACTAGACCCGATCAAGGAATTAAATGTGCGGCAAGCGCGCGCGACCGCACGCACGGGTTTGTTTACCTCGCAGTTACCACGATGTGCACGCCGTTGACGGCCACCCAGCGCAAACCTGGAGTAAATGCTGCACGCACGACGTCGTGAGCGCAGACCGGAAAAGGCTGCACGCACGACGCGGCATAGTAGCGACATCTAGCGGGTGACGATGCTACTAGCACATGACTAGCACGTGGCGGCCCGAAACGCCACTGACGCCACGCCCAACGTTTGGCCACGCCGGCCACGCGTAGTCAACACAGCTGTGTCAGTAGTGGTTGTGCGCAGACCCCCTCGGCGGCGTTTATCACTCATCTTTCACGCGCGTGCCTGCGGTCTCTGTGGCAGTGCGCGTTAAGGAGCAGGCAGCGTGCGAGTTTCGAAGACATGGACGAAGGCGCGAAGTTCGACAGCTTCGTCGAGTTTGACCGAGCATTCAGAGATTTTCAAGTGACTACGAACACTCTTTTTGTCGCAAAGGCAAGCTAGACTGCGGACATTGTGAACTCCCGGCTTTCTGCCGGTCTAACTAAGCTCGATGCAAAGTTGAAATTTGCGAACATAACCTATGCTTGCAAGCACGGTGATGCCGTGAGAAAGACGGGAAGTGGAATTCGTCCGCAACAAAGGTAAGCGCTTCCACTCTCGCCTTGAATGAAGGTGCCCCATTCGCAGAGCGTGAACTTTGGAGCTGAAAAACTTCGTTCTTCTCCTAGGACTATGAAGGACTGCCCAGCCAAAATTATCGTAGCGGCGCGCCGGGCCAGCCAACAGCTAGAAGTCATGGCTGTCAACCTCGAGTACAACCACGAGGTCAGCCCGGAAACATATAAGGCGTACTCGGAGTGTCGCCAGCTGAACGAGGAGGAGGTGAACTTCGTTAGGCCCCTAATAGAGCTGAATGTCCGTCCTAGCCTCATCGTGAAGAAGCTGAGACAGGAAACTGGTAAGAAAAGTTTTTTTTTTCTTGCGAGATTAGTCGTTTAATTGACTTCTTTATTTTGTTTATGCAGGGAAAGCAGTAATCGCCAAAGACATGCACAACCTGAAGTGTGCACGGTGAGGCCAGGATGAGGCGACCCAGTTAATGGAGGAGCTGAACTACTGCAAAGCGAAATATGGCGCAAAAGTACTTCCCATCACAGATGAAAACAAGGAATTGCAGATCCTGTTCTTCCAGACCCCACACATGCAGCAGGCATTCAAGTGCTTCCCAGAAGTCCTCCTCTTTGATGCAACATACTGCACGAACAAGCTGCGCATGCATCTTTTCGTAATGGTCGTACAAGATGGGTCCGGCTTGAGTCATGTTGTCGCGTATGCATTTGTGGCATCTGAACAGCAACATGTAGTTACTGGTCTTTTAGAGATCTTTGTCCAAGAAAACTCTGCAGCAACGAATACAAAAGTTGTGGTCATAGACAAGGATTTCACTGAAGTGAACGCTGTCAAAGCAGCCTTCCCAGGTTCCCCAGCAGTGCAACTGTGTGAGTTTCACGTGAAGAAGGCCTTCCAAACAGCTGCTGCACAGCTCGGAAAGTCACTTGATGAACGCAAGCGTTTGTTGGGTAGCTTTAGTGAAATGCTGCATGCTCCCACGCCACAGAAATATGATGACGCAAAAGCTGAATTTGAAAGGTATGCCAGTTCAGAAGCCACCAGCTATTTCGCAAAAAACTGGAGCAACATCACAGAGATGTGGGTACGGTACCATTGTGATCAAGAGTTCACAGGAGGCAACAATACCAACAACCGTGTTGAATCTCACAATGCGAAGATAAAAAATGTTCCCTCGTCATCCTCAAAACTTCATGAAGCTCTTCGTGGCCTCTTAAAGTTGTCTACAAGCTTGTCCCAAGAAGCACATCACAAGACCATACTTCTGAAGACCTGCGACTTCTACAGCTATGAAGGACATGAAGGTGTGCAGGAGCAGTGTCGCAAAGTTCTCACACCGTATGCCTGCAAGCTATTGAGCAATGAGCTGGTGAAGCTTCGTGATGAACCTCGAGAGGTTAAAAAGTTGTCGCCACGTACCTATGCCGTGTTTTCTACATCTACTGATGTCTGGCATGATGTTTCCTTCGAAAAACATTCATGCAGCTGTACCACGTATAAAAAGATGAAGCTGCTTTGCCGGCACATGCTCGCAGTTTGTGCTAGATTTGACGTCAAACCATGTCTGGAGGAAGCTGTCAGCAGACGATGGTTCAAATCATATCAGCTGGAGTTCCTTGGAACCACTGCAGATAACCATGAACAAGATGACATTGACTCTGAGTCCACGACGGAGAGCTTTGCAGAAATACAAGCTCTGTCAATGCCAGGGCCTTCCTTTCAGAAAATGAACAGAAATCAGCGTTTCAATTATGCAATGCGGACGCTCAAGGCTATCGCAGACAATTTGGCTGACTGCCAGCCAGACGTCTTTGCAGCAAGACTCTGTTTCTTAGAGTCTGTGAACGCAGCCTGGCTAAGGCAAGAAGATGTGGCACTGAGCCATCATGAAAAGGACAAGGTGCAAGCACCAGAAAATTCTACTGCACAAGATGTTTGCTCGGCAGATATGTTGCATGCTGATGAAGAGCAGCAGCTGCTCGACAACAATCAGCCCAGTGGATCTATCGAGCCCTTGATCAGCAGCAGTGAGACTGGAAGCTCTACAAACCAAAAGAGCACCACATCCAGCTTTGTAAGCGAGATAAGGCTTCCCCATGTCAAGAGTCGAGGCCGTCCAAATAAGCGGGTGCTGCAGAACAGGTTCAAGCGACCAAGAGAACAAGATGATAGCAGACCTGTGCCATTTAGGCAGCTAACTGAGAAGTCCCAAACAAAATGTAAGGAAGATTGAATTATGCTATTTGATACTTGCGTTTATTCTAATAACTGCACTTGCATAAACTTTGATTTCTTGCATTATGCTTTTTTTCTAGTGATATTGTCAGGCCTCATTGATGACAGCCTGTGCCAAAGGGTGGTGGATGGTGCGTACATCCTACTGGAGGATGACCTGGAAGTTCGTCCCGAAGCCCTCCCCAGTGCTCTGCTGGACTGCAGAGTATCCCTGCCAAAACTTAAAAAATACTTCAGTGCTGACGCATGGGCTCTTTTAAGTTCCTCGGGTAAATGATTCAAACATCTTCAATGCCTTTATGCTTTAAAAATGTGTAATTATTTTTTTTCTTCACAGTTGCTATAAAGAAGTAGAAAGAACTGTGGAGTTATGGCCTGTGCAAGCAGATCGACGATGGGCAAACTAGCATGGTTTGCTGTGACCAATGCCTAGAGTGGTTTCATTGGTGAGGGCATGCTTTCTGGAAACTTCATTGCTAAGTTTGCAATGGAAAATATTAAACTGTGTTAAAGAGCAAGTGTTTCTGCCATTTGAATATTTTTTTTTCTTCTGGCTAAGGCCCCCTTTCTATAGTTAATGAAAAAACATTGCATTAAAATAATAAAAGAACTATTTCCAACAGTTTCAAGATAAACAGTTGCAAAACTTGTTTTATAATGAATTTCATCATAAAGGGCCACATCTCTTGCTGTCAATTTGCATCAAAATTAGTAATGGTCCTGGACTTCATTAATTTAATTTAGCATAGTAAGTTATCGATAATTTTCACAGTAAATAAATTTTCATTTCAGGCCATGTGCTGGGATCACCAAAGAAGCTGCGAGGAAGTTGTGGTACTGCACTCAGTGCACTTCAAAGAGTTTCACAGCTGCCTCTGATTGAGTTAATATCGCCTGACAAATACCATGTCCCTGGGGCGCTTCTGTTAACTCCAAAGCAATCAAAATCAATAAAATTATTTGCCCCTCTCTGTTTTGTTGAATTTTAGAGGAAGATGCCACAGTATCCTTGGTGGTTTTGACATCTAATATATTCTAGCTTTGTTAATTACTTTGAGAGTCCAAAGTGGTCCGCTTAGCAGAATGATGCAAAAGCGCACAGGCAGTCCTAGCTTGCAAGAAATAAGCCAAAAAGACAAAAAAAAAGATTTCCTTTCACGGCGTCTGGTTTCATTACCAAGCGATTTCGACTGCAGACGTTGCCTCGCGGTTAACACTCAAAAACATTTAACGTTTCAGTTGCTTGTCTGCCGAAGAGTCCGTTTGCGTGCGCTGTTGGAAGCGGTTAACCGTGGCTATCAATCGGAGCCTGTTGTCGAAGGGCGTTTCATCTCCACCCTTGTAGCCAGGGCCGGGGGGTCGTTGACACCCCCTGCCCCTGGCTACGCACCTGCTTGAGAGATGATGACTGGCACGGCCGCCTGGATCGGGCGCGCGCGGCGGTACACCGCCGCGCGCCCCCGATCCAGGCGGCCGTGTGACTGGGATCTAATTTGTTTTTCGCGCCGCTTGGGGACATATTCACACAGTTCAAGTGCTGTGAGAACTTAGCTCCAGTCGTACATGAAATGCATGGATACGTGCTGAGGTTGGGCGCGGGAAAAAAAAAAAAAAAAAAAGCCGTGGCGCCGCGTCAAGAGAACTTTGCGTGTGCTTTTGTAGCGAGTGCTGAGGTGCAGGCGATGCTAACTGCTTGGTCTAATCGCTCAGTGGTCTGGTGCATGCGCCCGCTTTTCGTTTTAACGCGTTTTCTTTTCTCGATTTTTTTTTCGTCGTCAAAGTTGTAAAACTCGTCCAAGGCACAACGTGGCCATAAACGACGTCACTTACTCGGCCTGCCAGAGCGGATAACCGGGCGAGTCCTCGCTGCGAATTTCTATCCTTTCGCGCAGCGCTGTGCGCATCTCGACGGCCAGGACCATACGACAATATTCTGGTACACTCTAAACCGCCATGAGCTAGATGTCGAGAATTTGCCGCGTCCATGACTGTGCCGCACCGCGCTTTGCGGATCTCAAAGGCCACATTAATGCCACGCTGATCACACGGATCACACTAAGTCGCGTCGTCACCTGCTAGATGTCGCTACTAGGCCGCGTCGTGCGTGCAGCCTTTTCCGGTCTGCGCTCACGACGTCGTGCGTGCAGCATTACTCCAGCGCAAAAGCCAGCGATCACCTATCTATGGCCCAGTAAGTGCAAGGCGAGTGCTGTCGGAAGCCAGTTT